GTCATTCCCCCAGCGTCCCCTTCAGTCACCAGTAAATACACTTGATAGGACACCATTCAGGGATGGCTACTTACCTTCCCAAGTCCTCATTCCACAATCCTCCTAGCGCCCAGACTCTGATCCTCTCCAAAGACTGCTGCACTAGAGTTCTGGACCAGGGATCCTGTGATCTGTCACAATGAGAGACTCATGTCCATCAAATGCAGAGAAACATCCTGCTTCCCTAATAGGATGGCTTCAGCCAGGCGTCCATAAGAATCAGGAGAGAAAGACAGAGTTGTCTTCACACATGTGAGCTGGGTAGGGAGTATGGTATAGAATGTGGGTGCCAGGCTTCTAGATTTCCAAGTTGTGTTGGGCTCTATCACCAGGGAAATGAGGTTACTAACCAGACCTCCTTACCTGTCTTATTTTCTAAGACAAGACATCTCTTAAGGCCCCTTTGGGCTTACACTCATCTCCTATGCCATCTCTGTAATTGTACACAGATAAGAGAACATAACCCTTTCCACAAACTCCCAGGAAAACCTGTATTCAACCTGGAGCAAAGCTTTGAATAGACAGGGTTGGGTTGAGGTCTAGCTCCTCCCTCTCCCCACTTCTGTGACATCATACAGGTTATGGTGCTTCCCAAGGTCTCCCCAGTTTCCCTAACTGCACAATAAAACCCATGGACAGGTGTCAAGTGAAGATAATGTTCATGCTTAGAGATAAAAAATTATAAAAAGGAGGAAAGCCACATGGAGTATGACTCCAAAGGGCTGAGTTCTGGTGGGGTGACAGTGGGGAACTCTTTCTGCACTTGGCTTCATTCTTCAGTCGACACTATGAATGGATTGACCCCAAATGAAAGTCAGAAACCCTCACCCTCTGGGATAAGCCTTCAGTTGTTTCTATTGTTTTTAGAATCAGACCTCAGTTCCTCATCTCACAGAAATTGGTGTCACCTTGTACATCAATTGACCAGGTCCTCAGCTCCTGGTGGATGCATCCTTGTGTTGTCCCCTCCCCTTGAGT